TCCCACCATTGGACTTTGGCAGCTCAAGTGGTGTTAAAGTGCATTAAGTCTACGGTATAGACACACTTTTAGCCTCAACCCATTCCAAACCATAATAACACTTTTGGGGAACTCCCAAGAATAGGGGCCACATAATACTGGAACATTTTAGGGGCTTCTGATGGGCTCTCTCTTGGGAGTATATAATCATTGAACTGGAAGGGACTCAAGAGGCCATCTAGTCCAATGCCGAACTCAATGCTGGATCTCCAGTTAGACCAGTGTTTCTCAACGTTCCTAATACCACGACCCCTTAACACAGTTCCTGATGTTGTGGTGACCCCCAAACATAACATTATTGTCGTTGCTACTTCATAACTGTTATGAATCGTAATGTAAATATCTGATATGCAGGATGTATTTTCATTCACTGGACCATATTTGGTACAAATACCCAATATGCTCAAATTTGAATACTGGTGGAATTTTTTTTTTGGGGGGGGGGTTGATTTTGTCATTTTGGAGTTGTAGTTGCTGGGCTTTATAGTTCACCTTCAATCAAAGAGCATTCTGAACTCCACCAACGATGGAATTGAACCAATCATAGTGCACAGAACTCCCATGACCAACAGAAAATACTGGAAGGGTTTGGTGGGCACTGACTTTGAGTTTTGGGACTTGTAGTTCATCTACATTCAGAGAGTACTGTGGACTCAAAAAATGATGGATCTGGACCAAACTTGGCACAAATACTCAATATGCCCAAAGGTGAACACTGATGGAGTTTGGGGAAGCTAGACCTTGACATTTGGGAGTTATAGTTGCTGGGATTTATAGTTCACCTTTAATCAAAGAGCATTCTGAACTCAGCCAACGATGGTATTAAACCAATCATGGTGCACAGAACTCCCATGACCAACAGAAAATACTGGAAGGGTTTGGTGGGCACTGACTTTGAGTTTTGGGACTTGTAGTTCACCTACATCCAGAGAGCACTGTGGACTCAAACAATGATGGATCTGGACCAAACTTGGCACCAATACTCAATATGCCCAAATGTGAACACTGGTGGAATTTGGGGAAGCTAGACCTTGACATTTGGGAGTTATAGTTGCTGGGATTTATAGTTCACCTTCAATCAAAGAGCATTCTGAACCCCACCAATGATAAAATTGGGCCAAACTTTCCACACAGAACACGCATGACCAACAGAAAATGCTGTGTTTTCTAATGGTCTTTGGCAACCCCCCTGACACTGCCTCACGACCCACCCAGGGGTCCAGGTTGAGAAACGCTTGAGTTAGAACATTCTGAGAATAGTTTTACAAAGTTCTTAGCCTTCTCTGCCAAAGAGGGATGATGCCTCTCCAAACTACAACTCCCATGATCACATGCATTAATTCCTCAGTATAGATGTGCCCTTCCTAATTTAGGAGTGGAATGATCAACGCAGACAGAGTCCTCCTGGGAAGCTATTTAATTCAATTGGATTCCAATTCATTGTGGCCTTCTCCTTTTTCTCCATTGACTTCAATGTAGTAGCGATGCATCTGCACAACAACGACACACACAAACACAGAAACCTGTATATTGAATGTCATTATATTTTGCATTACAATATTTTAAAAAAAGGAAACATGACAATACATATTTACAAAGCGAGTTCGCAATCCGCGACAAAGTTCAATGCACCAGAAGCTCCTAATGCGTCTACAAGCGCCAAAAAATAAAATGTTTCTGTATTCTACATTATATTACAAGGACAACCTGTCAATAAATAGAGCAATAAATAGTCCAGTCTTTGGAGGTGCCTTTGAGGTGGACACAGGGAGGCGTCGTTACTGTCCATCATGTTCCTTGCAAGAAGACGGTCCTCCGTCATTATCTCTGGCGGAGAAGCCAGCTCTCTTTGCCTTAAAAGCATACAAGGGAGGCAAGGGGAGCTCTGGCCAGACGGGGGAAGGAAGGACCAGCGTCAATTACACTTCCCAAAGAATCTGACAAATCTCCAGCTTAGTATAAATAAAGCATCGAGGCCCATGGTTTCTCGGCCTGACACCTTCTTATCGCAGCCATTTGTTGGAGTGGTGGAAACATGGCATGTGACCCCGCCGTCGCATGCACGCATGTATGTGTGCATACCATTGGAGACCATGGAGAGCGTGGTCCGAAAGGAAAAGTCTGAGCGCAAAAGGGAGGCTTTGCAAAGAGGCCGAGTTGGACCCAACGGTCGTTCGCTTGTTGCAATGGCTTGCCGGCTTCGAACACTGAACCTTTGTGCAGCGAAAAAGGCCTTTGGAAGAAAAACAAGACTCTACCTGCTGACAATATAATGCACAAGAGCAAGGCACTATAACAACACTGTGTGCTTTCCTCTATTGATGCGCCATGTGGTTAATCATAAACAGATTTTCCTCTCTTAATTAAGAAGCATATCCATTTTAATGCTAATTACTGCACCGCTGTCAGCCCTAGCTTCTGCCAATCTAGCAGTTCGAAAACATGCAAATGTGAGTAGATCAATAGGTACCGCTCCAGCGGGAAGGTAACGGCGCTCCATGCAGTCATGCCGGCCACATGACCTTGGAGGTGTCTATGGACAACGCTGGCTCTTCGGCTTAGAACTGGAGATGAGCACCACACCCCAGAGTCAGACATGACTGGACTTAATGTCAGGGGACTACCTTTACCTTTTTACTGCACCACAATCCACAAACTGTGCAAATGGTAAGAGTTACTGTTGAACAGCACCAGTCCCCCACTTCTGTAGGGATCAAACCTCTATGGAGGTGTCTGAACTGAGGCTGCAAGACCATCTGTCAAGAGCGCTTTGACTGTACCTTCTTGCCTGGCTGAAGGGGATGGACTAGATGCCCTTTGGGGGTCCCTTCAGTGGAGTTTCCTCCTCTGGAGGTCTTTGAACTGAGGCCAGATGGCCATCTGTCAGGAGGGTTTGTAAATTTCTGGCCTAAATGCACCAAATCCGATTGGATGTTGGAAGCTAAGCAGGGTCAACCTTGGTAAGGACTTGGATGGGAGGCTGGCAATGAGAATCTGAAGTGCTGTAGGCTGCATTTCAAAAACATCTAAGGCTGGTTCTGTTCTACCCTGTTGTATAATGCATTTTGAACTGTATTATATGATCAGGAAAGAACCATCTCATGCAATATTTACATTCCACATTGAACTGCATGATATGGTTCTGGCACCATACTGTGTAATGCATTGCACTCTATACAAAATTTGGGGAAAAAATATGTTCTGTTCCTGGTTTGAAAGTATCATTTCCTGTTTAATTGTGCAGTTCTTATTTTGAAAGCAGTTGTTCTATTCCAGAAACTATGTTTTTGTGGCATCGACTTAGTTGAATCGGTTGAGACTTGATGGAAAACCAGAGCAAAATGTGCTCGAGCAGGATGTCCCTCCCGCCAACAACAAAGTTTGAGCAGTTTAATGAACTTTCCCCATGTTTTTATGATAGAACCAATTAGGAAGCAACATTGATAACCCAGGGACAAAAAACATGTGACATAATGTAATGCACATGAGCTATAATACTCCATGTTTTGATGCACAATTAGAAGGAAAGCAACTCATTTCAGATGGACTCCAATGAAGCCATTGATGCTGAGTTCTTCTAATGGTCTTTTGGCCATTTCATGATATGATTGATGGATAAATGCTTGGAAAAGTGGGAAGCAAAAGGAAAAGAGGGCTTCCAAGTGGATATGAAAAGCCCTAAGGAACGCCTTGCTTTTGCAAGACCTATGGGCAGAGCTCTTGAGGGCAGGCAGGCTTGGAGACTTCTCATTCATAGGGTTGCCATACAAGGTCACCAACAAATGGGTTTGCTTGTAATCTGCCATTGGTTCAAATGAGTTTACTCTAGCGGGAATTCTGCCCATGATTTTAAATGAGGCTTTAATTGACTCTGGGTTTGCAGAACTCATGCAGTTTGGCATCACTTCAACCACCTTGGGTCCATGCTATGGAATCCTGGGAGTTGCTGTTGGAGGAGGCGCCAGCAGGGAATGAGAAAGACCTCAAAAAACTATAACTCCCACTATTCCATAGCATTGAGTCCTAGAAATTAAAGTGATGTCCAGTTGCATTAGTACTACAGCTTCCATCTTGCCACCTGGACACCTATATAGCGATATCTTGAAATATAGATAGATCTATATCTCCCCTCTAAGCTGCACCATATTCCTCACACTTATATGATCTGGACACGTTTCCTTGGGTTTTCATTTGCACTTGTCTCCAGGGTCTGACTGTACATCTGCACAAGCTATACATCTATGTCTCCCTTCAAAGGCTGGATCTACACTGACATATAGCGCAGTTTGAAATGCATTCTATGGTCAGGGTAGACCCTTATAATGCATTTTAGTTTATATGACTCTACACTGATCATAGAAATGCATCATATGGGAGTGTCGAGCTCTATAACACAGTTTGAATTGCATTGAACTGTGCTATATGACTACACTGACCATATAAAACATTATAAGACAGTGTAGATCCCTATAATGCAGTTTGAACTATATGACTCTAAACTGACCATAGAAATGCATCATATGGGAGTGTCAAGCCTTATAACTCCGGCCTTCCCTCCAGGTGTTTTGGACTTTGACTCCCACCATTCCCAACAGTTGGTGCACACTTCGGCTGTTAGGGATTGTGGGAGTTAAAGTCCAAAACACTGGAGAGCTGAAGTTTGCCCATGTTTGATGCATTATAAGGCAGTGTAGATCCCTACAGCTCAGTTTGAATTATATGACTCTACACTGACCATATGTGCATTATATGGTAATGTAGATCCCTATGACTAGTCTTCACTGACCATATAATGCATTATAAGGCAGTGTAGATCCCTATAACTCTGTTTGAATTATCTGACTCTACACTGACCCTATAATGCAGGCATGGGCCAACTTTGGCCTTCCCTCCAGGTGTTTTGGATTTCAACTCCCACAATTCCCAACAGTCAAAGTCCAAAACACCTGAAGGGTCAAAGTTTGTGGGAGTTGAAGTCCAAAACACCCAGAAGGAAGGCCGAAGTTGGCCCATGTCTGCTATAACGCATGATATGGCAGTGTGGACCTGTCCTTCACTTTCACTTAGTCACTCAACTTTCTGCATGGATCACAACTGCCTCCATTCGTATTTATTTCGAGCACGGGTTGACTGGTGTACCATTGTACGACCGTGTTTGTCTCTCCCGCGAGGTGACCTGTACACATCTCCTTAAATAAGACCCGTGGAACCTGTACAAGGGGGGCAAAGTCCACATTGACAAGGGGGGAGGTGCCCCTATCTGCAGCCGCACTCGGCCACCACCATGTCCTCGTACTTGGTCTTGAAGGTGACCACCCCTTTTTCCAGGTAGAGAAGAGAGATGGGGGCCAGGCGGGTGGGCACGCAGCAGACGGGTGCGGCCCGGTCAGGGTCCCCGAGGCGGAGGAGGGCCCGGGCCATGGCATGCGTGGTGGAGGGTGGGCCATCCAGTGGGAAGGCACAGGCCCCGCGGCACTGGAAGGCGTCATAGTGTAGCGGGGCGATGATCCAGGAGTCCCAACCGATCTCCTTGAAGTCCACGTGGAGGGAGACCTTCTTGCAGCCACCGCCACCCTTGGCGTTCCTCCGCCTGCGAGACGTTGAGTCGTAGATCAGGTTGGAACGCACCTGAAGCAGGTCCTCCTCCTCTGTCATCGTCAGCTCCTGCATCCCTTCATGGTCCATCATCTCATTGAGTTGGTGCTGGGCCTCCTTCGTGGCTTGGCTTCGGTCATCAGAGAAGACGATCAGCAATGGCTCGTGCTTGGCCTCCAAGTCGAGGTTGATTTCCGCTCTCTTGTCGGATTCTCCTCCTCCTCTTCCTCGGTTCTCGATCTGAACCTCCAAGCGTAAAAGGTTGGCATGGAGGCGATGGGCCCTGCGGACGGCCTCTGTCACCTCAAAGGTCTTCCACTCGTTGTCGGTGCCAAAGGTGTGCCTGGAAGCCAGGACTCTCCTCTTACGATCATCTCCACCTTCTACGCCTCCGCCTTGATGGAAAGGATCCAAGACTTCCAAGATAGTGACCTTCCCACCAAGGCTGTCGTACAGCGCCCAGTCCTGCTCCACCAGTGTGAAGAGGCGCAGCTCGGCCAGAGTGATCTTCTCAAAGTCAGGGATGGAGACGTTGAAGAGCAGCGGATACCGCCGGGTGCCGGGCGAGGAAACAGGTCGCCAGAGGTGCTCTGCAAGAAAACAATGATAATGTAACAATATAATAAATACAATAAATATAATAATAAATATAATAGTAGTAGTAACTGTAATATTACTAAATATGAAACGGGTCTGCAAATGAGGAGATAACAGAGAGGTCACTTTTGCAGCTATGTGTCTCAATCAAAAGCAGGCTATAAACAACAACAAGAACAAGAACAACAACAACAACAACAACAACATGATATCTATATAAATAAAAATGTAATGTTAGTGTGTGGGATTAACATAACTCAAAAACCACTGGACAAATTGACACCAAATTTGGATACAATACACCTCTCAGGCCAATGAGTGACCATCACTCATAAAAACACTGAAAAACACTGTGGAAGGGACTTAAAAAGCCAAAAAAGCAAAAATGACTTCCCTGGCAAAAAAAAACCCCACACAATAGCATATCCAATAATACAATAATCAATATAATAATAGTACTCGCTATAATAATCATAATAAATAACATAATATTAGAATATTATAACAATAAATATAACAATGATATAGGTTCCTGTAGTTTTTTTCGGCCTATAGGGCCATGTTCTAGAGGCATTTCTCCTGACGTTTCGCCTGCATCTATGGCAAGCATCCTCAGAGGTAGTGAGGTCTGTTGGAAATAGGAAAAAAACCTACAAGAACCTAGTGATTCCAGCCATGAAAGCCTTCGACAATACATTGAACAATGATATAATCTATATAAATAAAAATGTAATGTTTGTTTGTTGGATTAACAGAACTCAAAAACCAGTGGGCCAATTGACACCAAATTTGTACAGCATACACCTAACAATCCAATGTATGTCCTTCGCTCAATTTTTTTTGATTTTGTCATTTGGGAGTTGTACTTGTTGGGATTTATAGTTCACCTAGAATCAAAGAGCATTCTGAACTCCACCAATTATGGCATTGAACCAAACGTGGCACACAGGACACCCATGAACAACAGAAAACACTAGAAGGGTTTGGTGGGAATTGACCTTCAGTTTGGGAGTTGTAGTTCACCAACATCCAGAGAGCACTGTGGACTCAAACAATGATGGATCTGGACCAAACTTGGCATGGATACTCCATATGACCAAATATGAATACAGTTGGAGTTTGTGGGAAACAGACCTTGACATTTGGGAGTTGTAGTTGCTAGGATTTATAGTTCACCTACAATCAAAGAGCATGCTGAACCCCACCAATGACAGAATTAGGGCAAATTTCCCACACTCAACCCCCATGACCAACAGAAAATACTTAAAGCCATCCAGTCCAACTCCCTTCACCAGGGCAAAAAAAGGTAGTAAAAGCCCTCCTGACAAAGAGCCATCTAGCCATAGATATATAGATATGATTCACACACACACACAGACAGATATAGTATCATAGATTTGAAAGGGACCCTTAAAGAAGGACTATGATATGTTGCATATTCCAGAATAGGCAAACCAGACCATCTCCACATCAACACTGACAAAAAGAACAACAAGAAATACTGTTTATCCACAAGCACAAAGAAATTACATATATTGGAAACCAACACTTTCTCATTACTTTATTTTCCAGATCACCAGACTGGGCCATAGCAACGCCTGGCAGGGGACGGCTAGTAATAAATAAAATCAATAAATAATAGATACAATAATAGTAGTAGTAACAGCTATAATACACATCAGTAATATAATAAATATAATACTTATACATGTAATCCTAAATATAATATTATTATCAATATCATGATATAATAATAATAAATAACATAAATCTAATAATAGTAGCTATCATCCTCTTCATCATAAATAATCTCTCCCTCTCTCTCTCTCTCTCTCTCTCTCTCTCTCTCTCTCTCTCTCTCTATATATATATATATATATATATATATGCTCTGTTTGTTTTGTGTGACATCATAACTCAAAACCACTGGACTAATTACCACCAAATTTGGCCACAAGACACCTACTAACCCAAGGAGTGACCATCACTCCAAAAATGATTTTGCCATTTGAGAATTATAATTGCTGAGATTTATAGTTCACCTACAATCAAAGAGCATTCTGAACAATAGAATTGGGGCAAACTTCCCAAACGGAACTCCCCTAACCAACAGAAAACACTGTGTTTTCTGGTGGTCTTTGGCGATCCCTCTGACACCCCATGGTGACCCCCCGGGGTCCCGACCCCCAGGTGGAGAAATGCTACCTTAAGGCCATCCAGTCCAACTTCCTTCACCAGGGAAAGAAATCATCATCAAAGCCCTCCTGACAAAGAGCCATCCAGCCATAGATAGATATGATTCACATACACACATATATATGTATATGACAAATATAGTATCATAGATTGGAAAGGGACCCCTCTTTTTTTTCATGTCAGGAGCGACTTGAGAAACTGCAAGTCGTTTCTGGTGTGAGAGAATTGGCCGTCTGTAAGGACGTTGCCCAGGGGACGCCCGGACCCCTGAAGAAGGACAATGATATGTTGCACGTTCCAGAGTAGGCAAACCAGACAATCTCCACATCAACACTGACCAAGAAACAACAAGGAATACTGTTTACCCACAAGCATAAAAAATACATATATTAGAAACCAACACTTTCTCATTACTTTATTTTCCAGAGCACCAAACTGGGCCATGGCAACGTATAGCAGGGGATGCCTAGTACAATATAATAAATATAAACATAATCCTAAATCTATATATATATATATAAATGCTCTGTGCATAATGAGTACCTTAAAAACAAAAGAACCAATGAATGAAATCACACCAAATTTCGCAACAAAACGTCTCACAACACAAGGAGTGACCATCACTCAAAAAATTATAATTTTGTCATTTGGAAGTTGTAGTTGCTGGAATTTATAGTTCACCTACAATCAAAGAGCACTCTGAACTCCGTCAATGATGGAATTGAACCAAACTTGGCACACAGAACTCCCATGACCAACAGAAAATACTGGAAGGGTTTTGGTGAGCATTGACCTTGAGTTTGGGAGTTGTAGTTCACCTACATCCAGAGAGCACTGTGGACTCAAACAATAATGGATCTGGATTAAACTCTACATGAATACTCAATATGCCCAAATGTGAACACTGTTAGAGTTTGGGGAAAATATAATCTTGACATTTGGGAGTTGTAGTTGTTGGGATTTATTGTTCACCTACAATCACAGAGCATTCTGAACCTCACCAACAATGGAATTGAACCAAACTTGGCACACAGTTCTCCCATGACCAACAGAAAATACTGGAAAGGTTTGGTGGGCAGTGTCCTTTGGTTTTGGACTTGTAGTTCACCTACATCCAGAGATTCAAAAAATGATGGATCTGGACCAAACTCTACACGAATACTCAATATGCCCAAATGTGAACACTGTTAGAGTTTGGGGAAAATAGAATCTTGACATTTGGGAGTTGTCGTTGCTGGGATTTATAGTTCACCTACAATCACAGAGCATTCTGAACCCCACCAACGATTGAATTGGGCCAAACCTCCCACACAGAACCCCTATGTGGGCCATAGCAACGCGTGGCAGGGAACGGCTAGTATAATAATAAAATTACAAATTGATTGTCCTTTCCCTGCATGGCAGAAAGTCAGACTAGATGGCCCACGGGGGTCTCTTCCAAATCTATTCTTCTGTGAGATAGAAGAGACTCCTTGGATGCAACCCAAAATCCCATTGACTTTTGGAGCTGCTGCATCCCATTGCTGGCTCATGTTCAACTGGTTCTCCACTAAGACCACTTTCTACACTGCCATGTAATTCAGATTATGAAATCAGATAATCCATATTACCTGCTTCGAACTGGATTGATATGAGTCTATACTGCCATATAATCAATTTCTTTGAAAGTAGTTGTTCTACTCCAGAAACTTTGTTTTGCCACAGACTAATTGGCTTAGACTCGTTGATGAAATATTCATTGAATGTGCTGCAGGACGATCTCTCTCCCGCACAAACTTTTTGCAGTTTAGTAAACATTTCCCATATTTTCATAGAATCAAAGAGTTGGAAGAGACCTCATGGGCCATCCAGTCCAACCCCCTGCCAAGAAGCAGGAATATTGCATTCAAATCACCCCTGACAGATGGCTATCCAGCCTCTGTTTAAAAGCTTCCAAAGAAGGAGCCTCCTCCACACTCTGGGGCAGAGAGTTCCACTGCTGAACGGCTCTCACAGTCAGGAAGTTCTTCCTCATGTTCAGATGGAATCTCCTCTTTTGTAGTTTGAAGCCATTGTTCCGTGTCCTAGTCTCCAGGGAAGCAGAAAACAAGCTTGCTCCCTCCTCCCTGTGGCTTCCTCTCACATATTTATACATGGCTATCATATCCCCTCTCAGCCTTCTCTTCTTCAGGCTAAACATGCCCAGCTCCTTAAGCCGCTCCTCATAGGGCTTGTTCTCCAGACCCTTTATCATTTTAGTCACTCTCAAATTCCATTTGTATTCATATTTGGGCATATGGAATATTCGTGCCAAGTTTGGTCCAGATCCATCATTGTTTGAGTCCAAAGTGTTCTCTGGATGTAGGTAAACTACAACTCCCAAGCTCAAGGTCAATGCTCACCAAACCCTTCTAGTATTTGGTCATGGGAGTTCTGTGTCCCAAGATTGGGACAATTTTGTGATCTAACAAATTAGATTGTTGTGTTACATAGTGTTATTATTATACAATAATAATATACGATATTATATAGTATTATTATTAATAAAAATATACAATCTATATAAATAAAAATTTAATGTTTGTGAGTAACAGAACTCAAAAACCATTGGACAAATTGACACCAAATTTGGACACAAGACATCTAACAACTCAATATATGTCCTTCACTAAAAAAAATGATTTTGTCATTTCGGAGTTGTAGTTGCTGGGATTTATAGATCACCTACAATCAAAGAGCATTCTGAACTCCACCAATGATGGAATTGAACCAACCTTGGGACACAGAACTCCCATGACCAACAGAAAATACTAGAAGGGTTTGGTGAGCATTGACCTTGAGCTTGGGAGTTGTAGTTTAGCTACATCCAGAGAACACTTTGGACTCAAACAATGATGGATCTGGACCAAACTTGGCACGAATATTCCATATGCCCAAATATGAATACAGATGGAGTTTGGGGGAAATAGACCCTGACATTTGGGAGTTGTAGTTACTGGGATTTATAGTTCACCTACTATCAAAGAGCATGCTGAACCCCACCAACGACAGAATTGGGGCAAAATTCCCACACAGAACCACCATACTTAAGGCCATCCAGTCCAACTCCTTTCACCAGGGCAAGAAAATGTAATCAAAGCCCTCCTGATGAAGAGCCATCCAGCCATAGATAAAGATAGATATATGATGCATACACACACACACAGATATAGTATCATAGATTTGAAAGGGACCTCTAAAGAAGGACAATTATATGTTGCATATTCCAGAGTAGGCAAACCAGACCATCTCCACATCAACACTGACAAAGAAACAACAAGGAATACTGTTTACCCACAAAGCATAAAGGAATTACATATATTAGAAACCATTACTTTATTTTTCAGATCACCAGACTGAGCCACAACAACGCGTGGCAGAGGATGGCTAGTAATAATATATAATGTGCTGCATTTCCATGTTTTGATGATGGAACCAATTAGGAAATGACACTGGTAACCCAGGAACAATAGTTGCGTGAAGGTCATTTTGCATCCAGACCCTGTCTTCTGCAATATGAGCTCTCCATCCCAATTTGGTTCCAAACTTGATAAGAAGCATGCCCTTTAAACCTTCTTCTAAGCCATTCATGCATTTTCCTTCTTTCCTCCCAAGAAGCTCCCAAAAGTAAGGCAATGTCCGGCCAAGCAATCTCTAAGGTCTCCAGGAGAGCGTCCCGGGCCTTACCTTCGTTCTTGAAGCTGCGGACAATGTTGGCGGAGGGCATAGAACTCTTGTCAAGAGTGAAGCGGTGGAAGAGCTCCAGCATGTATTCGGGAGGCTCCACTTTGGCCGGTTCTTGGACAGGGACCTCAGAGATGTTGAGGGCCTTCAATAGGTTCTGCAGAATGGGGTCCTGCTCGTCAAAGAAGGCCACATCCTCCGGCGCATCCAGGTCTCGGATGGGACCTCCGTCTCCAATGCGGAGCAGCATGACGGCCCACATTTGCAAGGCCACCAGCCTCATAGTTGCCTTTCTCATGGTTGCGTCCTAGCACAACAGATAGAGAGAGATATATATGGTCGTCCCAGCACAATGGATAGAGATAGAGATATATATGGTGCTTGTCACTAGCCGTGGACAAGTCTGGAAGCTCTTGCCCAGGCGCTTGTCATGCGAACGCCTCTCCTTCCAATCCCACCCCCTTTCGTCCAGGTCTCAGTAATTGGATCTGGTCTCCAATGGTCGCCTTCACTGCCTTATCTCCCCCAGTGTAAGCTGTCCACCAGATTTCGGTCTCTATCTCACAAATGCGCCGCTCTCTTAATGAGCATGGTGTAAACATTCCTCGTTGGGATGCGATGGAAGAGTTGGCCAACTTTTTCCCCTCGTCTTGTGCGGAAGGACATACCCTCCCTTCCTCTACTTCTGTTTTCTCTGAGGACTGTTTCTAAGGGGGCATCTGCACTGGAGAATTAATGTGCTCAAATGGCAACGGCTCAATCCTGCATCCGGTTCTGCATAGATATAGGATGAGGGACACCTGGCTGAAGAACCTTCCGTGTGAAAGGAATCTAAGGATCTTTGGAGACCACAGCCTGAGCATGAGTGTGATGTGGCAACTCAAAAGACCAATGCCATTCCAGGCTGCATCCATAGGAGCCTAGCATCCACATCGAGGAAAGTCCTAGTCCCTCTCTTCTGCTTTGGGAAGATCTTCTCACCTGGAATGATAGCCCTATGTCCCATTCTGGACAAAGCAATTGAAGAAGGAGTGCCTGAGAGTTTGGTCCTGGGCCCAATATTCTTCAACGTCTTTATTAATGGCTTGGATGAAGGTTTAGAGAGCCTGCTTCGTATCAAGCTAGCAGCTGGGACTAAATTAGGAGGGAGAGCGAATACTCCAGAGGACAGAGTCAGGATGCAAAAGGACCTCAACAGATGAGAGAGCTGATTAACCAAAACAAACACAATGAATGTCAACAAGGAGCAACGTAAGATACTACACTTAGACAGGAAACAATGAAATGCAAAGATACAGAATGAGAGATGCCAACAATAGTCCATGTGAAAAAAATTGTGGAGTCTTCGTGGGGAACAAATTGAACATGAGCCATGAGTGTGATGCAGCAGCTCAAAAGCCAATGGGAGTCTAATGTCTAGATCGAGGGAAGTCCTGGTGCCTCTCTATTTGGCTTTGGTCAGGCTTCACCTGGAATACTGTGTCCAATTCTGGACACCATGATTCTAAGCTGGAAGGTGTCCCGAGGAAGAGGGAGACCCAAAGGATCAAAGGTCTGGAGACCATTAATCATCCGTCTGAGGAGCATCTTAAAGAGCTGGGTTTGTTTATCCTGCGGAAGAGAAGGCTGAGTGGAGGAGGAATGACAGCCATGTCTAAATATGTGAAAGGCTGTCATAAGGAAGAGAGAACAGGCTTCATTTCTGCTGCGCTGGAGACTAGGACTCAGAGCCATGGGTTCTGACAGGGAAGGAGACCTATATATATATGCCCAAGTTACAAACATCCAATTTACAAATGACTCACAGTTAAGAAGAGGGCTGGGCTGGATGGCCTTTGGGGACCCCTTCCAAATCTATGATACTATATATAGAGATATAGTTATAAAAACACCCAACTCCTATTTATGAACGGGGCCGACAATTGAAAGTGAGCAGAATCTTCCTCTTGAAAGGAAGCGAAATCCACTCCTGGGAGAGTTAATATCAGCGGGGGAAAGGGTTTCTGCTCAAGCTTTGTCCAAATCCTTGTTTTCACAACAAGCCACATTTTGCAAAATCTAATAATAGCAGGGACAGAAAGTGGGGTGAAATCTTCTGAACAGAGACACAGGCAACAAGGGTGCTCACCCTTCCCTATGCCATACCAAAGCCATATATTAACACTATGCGCAGTGGGTTAAAGTGCTGAGCTGCTGAGCTTGTTGACCGAAAGGTCGCAGGTTCGAATCTGGGGAGCAGTGTGAGCTCCTGCTGTTAGCCCCAGCTTCTGCCAACCTAGCATTTTGAAAATATGCAAATGTGAGTAGATCAATAGGTACCACTCTGGCAGGAAGGTAACGATGCTCCATGCAGTCATGCTGGCCACATGACCTTGGAGGTGTCTACAGACAATACCACCTCTTCGGCTTAGAAATGGAGATGAGCACCACCCTCCAGAGTCAGACACGACTGGACTTAATGTCAGGGGAAAACCTTTACCTAACACTATGCAACACGATGTTTGTTCCTGGGTTATGAATGTCACTGATTCCTAATTGATTCTGTTATGAAAACATGGATAAAGTTTATTATAAGGCCACTCCTTTGTTTTTGGAAGAAGGACATTATCCTGCGATAGCACAATGGCAATCTCATCATCTAGTCTCAACTAATTTGACAAAAACAACAAAGTGTCTGGAGTAGAACAACTACTTTCAAAGTAAGGGCCACACAATTAAACAGGAAACAACCCTGTCAAACCAGGAACATAATTTATTTTTTCAAATGTTGTTGCATAGTGTGATTCAAGCTCTGTTATTCAAAAGCGCAACTAGTTCAATGTGGAGGGGACGTTCCTGCAGGACATTTTTAGGATTCTCTCCCTTGTCATCGTCTTTCCTTGCAACTTTGGTATTCCTTTGGTGTCCGATAAGGAAGGGAGAGCCTCTCCCATGACATTGACACAAGCAAGGCAGGCGACCCAAGACCCTTTTCGCCCCTTTTCTCACTCCTGGGTCTATTTCAAGAGCGACATTCTTATCCTTAATGAGGATTCCAAGGAGGAGAAACTCAGTGAACTTTCCAGAGTCAAAACTCCCGGATACCATTGTGTTGCAATGCAGCCACCCATCCCAACCACTCCTTGGATTCTCATAAGGGGCACCTGCACTGCAGGATTAATGCAGTTTGACGCCACTTTCAATGTTGTGGCTCAGTGCTATGCAATCTTGGGAGTGGGCCTCCATTTGCACCACCGTTGTGTTTGCATTCATCCCAGTGTTTGCTTTCTCACAGTTGGAAGCGCACCCAGCCCTGTTTGCTCTGCTTCTTGCACCTTGATTTTATATATACAGGGTGCAGCAGCATAACTTTCTTTTTTCAAAACTTAATAAAACCCATTGTATGAATCAGAATTTTTTTTATAATGTAGGCGCATACCTAAAGTTTTCTTTTAAGTAGTTTTGAAGATGAGATTAGGTAGGTGACGTACCCCATTCTCCATACACTGAGTAAACTGATTTCTGGCGTTTGTCATAACTCTTGCCAGCATAGCAGGCGTTACATTGGTAATTTCATCCTGAATGTTGGTCTTCAAATCTTTTAGGGTCCTTGGACAGTTCACATAAACACAGGATTTCAAAAAACCCCATAGAAAAAAAATCACAAGGGGCCAAATTGGGAGAGCGGGCCGGCCACTCCAAATCCCCCCAAATTGAGATGAGGCGCTCTGGGAAGTGTTCCCTCAAACCAGCCATCGATGCATTGAAGTGTGTGCAGTTGCACCGTCTTGTTGGAACCAAATGTCCCCTAAGTCCAACCCATCTAGCCGTGGGGGAAAAAAAAATCCTGTAACATGTTTACATACCGGTCCGAATTCACCACTTTTATAATATACTAGCTGTCCCCTGCCACGCGTTGCTGTGGCCCAGTCTGTTGATCTGGAAAATAAAGTAATGAGAAAGTGTTGGTTTCTAATATATATGATTTTTTATGCTTGTGGGTAAACAGTATTTCTTACTGTGTCTTTGTCAGAGTTGATGTGGAGAGTGTCTGGTTTGCCTACTCTGGAACATGGAACATATAATTGTCCTTCTATCTATCTCTATGGCTGGATGGCTCTTTGTCAGGAGGACTTTAATTACGTTTTCTTGCCCTGATGGATTGGATGGCCTTAAGTATTTTCTGTTGGTCATGGGGGTTCTGTGTGGGAAATTTGCCCCAATTCTGTCGTTTGTGGGATTCAGAATGCTCTTTGATTGTAGGTGAACTATAAATCCCAGTAACTACAAATCCCAAATGTCAAGGTCTATTTCCCCCAAACTCCATCTGTGTTCATATTTGGGCATATGGAATATTCATGCCAAGTTTGGTCCAGATCCATCATTGTTTGACTCCACAGTTGTCTCTGGATGTAGGTGAACTACAACTCCCAAACTCAAGGTCAATGCCACCAAACCCTTCCAGTATTTTCTGTTGGTCATGGGAATTCTGTGTGCCAAGTTTGGTTCAATTCAATCATTGATGGAGTTCAGAATGCTCTTTGATTGGAAATTAACTATAAATCCCAGCAACTACAACTCCCAAATGACAAAATCACAATTTTTTGAGTGATGGTCACTCCTTGCGTTGTGAGAGATTTTGTTGCCAAATTTGGTGTGATTTTGTTCATTGGTTCTTTTGTTTTTAAGGTACTCATTATGCACAGAGCATTTATATATATAGATAGATAAACTATGAAGATAAACAATAAATACACAACTGTATGATTGAGGAAAAACACTTTAATTTCTTTGAATTTTATAAAGACAGACTTTATTTCCTTTTTCTGCCTCTTTTTTCGGGTTTTAGTAAGAAGAACGGAAGTCACCATTTATTTATTTTTTAATTATTTTTTATTTTTGTACTTTTTTCATGTTTCTTTTTGCCGAAATATTATTTTTCTTTTCTGCTTTCCTAAAATCATATTTTTCTCACACTTTCTTTGTAAACAAAGTTTTTTCTATCTTTTTATTTCTTCTTATTATATCTTATTTTTTAAAAGTCAAAGATCTTCTTTCTATCTCGCTCTTTCTTCTTGGGACAACTTCTTTTCTCAATAATTTTTTTAAAGGCATCCCTTTGAAGTCAATACGGACTTTAGGAGGGTCTCCCCAGTAAGAGAGACCCCTGGGACCGCACCAAAGAGGGTCTATGACCTTGGCGAGCTGTCAGAGAAGCCTGATTCCAGCAATTTTATTAATATTAATAATTGAAATGAGACTCTTGCCAAGGCGAAGAAGAGGCATCGAGGTTTAATGAGCAATTCAGCGGATGCAAATGCGGGGATAGCTCACCCACAAGCATACCAGTATATTGATAAGAGGCATATATATAGCAAATTCAAAGTTGCAGAGTTCAAACTCCCCGCCCCGG